AGCACTATTTCGGAGATCACCACATCTCCTCATCAGACTTCTTTTTTCTAGACTTCAGCAGGGATCGAACCTGCATATTCGATGTTCAAAGTCAGAAGCGTTAACCACTGAGCTATGTACATCCCGTAAACTCTTGTTGCTAATTCATTTTCCTTATTCAACGAACTACTATCAAGTGCAACTGATTTGCCACTATTTAAACTCGACAGCGTGGTTGTTGTTGTCAATTCTATACATCCATTTGCTTATTTGCTTTTTTGTTTAGTTTCAGGCAGGCTCTTCCTAAACTATGTATTTGTCAATGTTTGTCAGGGCCGCATACAACACCATCGCTGCCGCCCTCACCATTATATGGGCCACGGCCAACGTCACCGCTAAGGCTGCCACCACCACTGCAAGGGAACTGCAGGCTGCCGTCGCAGCCATCGCCGTCGCCGTCACAACCACCGCGACTGCTCTCATTGCCACGCTCTTCGCTACGACTGACGCGTACCACTGCCAATCTTGCTGTCACTAGTAGCACTCCCGTCGCCGTACAATTACCCGCCGAATAATCTCCGACACCGACTGCCGGCTCTCTCTCTTTACCTTCCGCTCTCACCTGCACGGCAAGTTGCCAGCCTTCTGGATAGCCTCGTGTGCGTGTGGGTGTGTTCGACTTAATACACAAATCATTGTGTTTTATTTGGTGGGGATTAGTGGGACCTTCGCTGGACTCTGGAGCGGCTGAGCATACCTCAGCCTTCGACAAAACCCACCTCATAACTCACATCCCGATGTTAAGTGCTAAACCTTCGAAGCGACCGTGGTTCTCTAGAGAACTCAAACGACTAAGGAATTTGAAGAATAAGTTTTATAAAAAGCAAAAGCATTCTAATGATGTTAATTTTCGTGAGCCGTATGTGTCTTACAGAGGTAAATTCAACAAGCTGAACAAGTCTTTGCATCGAAATTATATTCGTAATATGGAAAGGAATATTAAATGTAACCCCAAGGCCTTTTGGAGTTACATAAAAGCTATGAAAAACTGCTCAAATATACCTGCGTTGGTTCATCTTAAAGGGGTTTCAGCTAATTCCATCTCTGATGCTGCTAATCTGTTTGCCAAATTTTTTTCTTCGAATTTTATTTCAGACAATGCTGATCATGGCTTTGTCCCTGGAGATCTCCTGTTTAATTCAGATACTTCTATCAACTTCGGGAAATTAGATTTGACTGTCGAAGATGTCATTGATGGCATTAATCAGCTTAAGCCATCCACTAATACAGATGTTGATGGCTTACCGGTCGTTCTAATTAAAAGTTGCCCTGCCTTGATTAAGCCTCTATGGCACATTTTAAACATGTCACTTGCTGCTGGAGTCTTCCTTGATGACTGGAAATTGACTTTTATTACGCCTATCCTTAAAAGCGGCAATAAAAATTATATTGAGAATTATAGGCCAATTTCCAAGCTAACCACAGTTTCTAAACTGTTTGAGTGCATAGTTAAGGACAAAATATACTTTGCCGTCAAACATATGATATGTCCTAATCAACATGGCTTTGTTCCGGGCAGATCTACCTTAACTAATTTAGCTGCCAATTTCTAAAGTGGACAACTTCCTATTTAGATAACAGACAATGTGTCGTTCGACTCGATATTGTATCGTCTTACTCTTTTGTTGCTTCCTCTGGTGTTCCCCAGGGTAGTGTCCTAGGCCCGTTACTATTTGTCCTTTTCATTAATGATATTTCCTCATGTTGTTCCAAGTGTAATTATCTTCTATACGCGGATGACCTGAATATTTATTATGAAATTAAATTTCCAGAAGATTCATCCATTCTCCAGTGTGAGTTGGATAACTTATATAGTTGGTGTGTGCGTAATCGTTTGTTCCTCAACATTAGTAAATGTCACTATTCTTCTTATGCGAAAGTTTTCAGTATTGTTCCAACATCTTACTGCATCTCAAACTCGCCGCTAAAGATAATAAGTGAATGTAAAGACCTGGGCGTCTATTTTGACTCCAAGCTCAACTTCACAACTCACATAAATTATATTGTTTCTAAATCGTTCGCTATGTTGGCCTTATTCGTCGAAACTGCTCTTCGTTTTCTGATCCCTATACTCTCAAACTGTTGTACTCGTCCTTAGTTCGGTCCAGGTTAGAATACGCGGTATTCGTTTGGAGACCGTTTCATGCAGTCCATGTTAATAGATTAGAGTCTGTTCAGCGAGCTTTTGTGCGCTTTGCTTTGCGCTCGATGAATTTTGTAGATCCCATTCCGTCCTATCGCTCTCGTTGCTTACTAATAAACCTCATGTCCTTAGAGTCTAGGCGTGCTATGTTGTCGATGTGTTTTGTCTTTGATATCTGTGCGGGATCAATAGATTGTCCGTACCTGCTCATGAAAATTAATTTTAATGTTCCCTCACGCATTCTCCGCTGTAATGAATTGTTTTTCGTGGGTATAGCTAAAACTGTCTATGGGATGAATGCTTCTTTTAGGAGGACGCTAGCACAGTTTGCGTATTCTTCTTCCTTAGAGTTTTATTTCTCATACTCTAAGTCTACTTTTAAGAATCTACTTGTAAGCCTCTTGTCATAAGGTCTTTGTATTTAACTATCATATAGCCTGTAAACATCCTGTTTGTTGTTGATTAATAATAAATAAATAAATAAATGTTCGGCTCACTCTTGACTTTGCACGTGGGGTATATGTAAGATAGTTTATTTGTGTTAATGGCATCATTTTTATTTTTATCGCACCGAGTTTTAAAGCCAGATGAAAAATATTTATCACATTTTTAAAACGCAAAACTTAAAACATCAAAACGGCTAAGCTTTTTACGCCAAACTTTTAATTCAGAAACTGACAAGAGAGAAAAGAACGAGTTAAAAAAAAAATCGGTAACAAGCAAGAAAGATGCACAAAAAGTGTTCCACCGTCTCATCTTCTTCAAGGCAAGATGGGCAAATGGACTTGTCATTTACGCTTATCACAGTCAGGTGTGTGTGCCACTTGAAGTAACCAGTCAGCAGTTCAGCAAGTTGTCTGCAGTGTCGTGTGCTCAGTGAGAGCAAAAACTTAGATAGACCTTGTGAGATTGAAGGTTTTGCCCACCCGCATCCCCTCGATGTCTCTCAGTCATTTCTGAGTTTCTGATGGTGGCTTCGATTGCCAAAGGTGGGAGTGCTAAAACTGGTTGCGGACCGAGGAATGCCTGGTCTGAGCCCACTCTGGCCAAATGATCAGATGTCTCATAACCAGGTACTCCAGAGTGACCTGGCACCCAGAGTACAACAACCTCGTTATGTTCACCATCATATTTTAGTCGAGACTTGCATTTCCGAATTAGTTTGGAAGTACTTAAATAGAGGGCTGGTCAATGCCTTAAGTGCAGCTCGGTTGTCACTGCAGTCACGTAAACTCCTTCCCCTCCACCTGTGTTCCACCACGTAGTCCATGGCTTTGAGTATTGCAATTACCTCAGCCTGGAAGACCGAAGCATATTCCCCTACAGACTACAGAAAAGTGAAGCTTATCTCCATTAACCTCGAAAAAGACCCCAGATCATGACCCAGAGTCCGTTTTGGAGCCATCAGTGAAGATTCGACAATGTCTGGTCTCAGCGATATAAAATTATAAAATCTCTTCAACAAATGTAATGGTGGCGTACTATCCTATAGCATTGAAAAGACACAAGTGCCAGCATCCGGTTCTCTTTAGTCTGCAGGTGGCCTTAAAGGTTTCCCCACGCGTGAAAACACAAAGTGACGGTAAGTGCAGCAGTGCTTCAAGAACACTATACACCACTCAAAAAAAATAAAGTTAAATAAAGAGGCTATCAAGCAACCCTTTTGGTTCTCTACATCGAAACCAGATACATTTTCGTGGACCCCCATTTACAACTCATGGACCCCCATATTTTTTTCACGTCACCGTAGACCACTTTGGAAATCACTGGTATAAAGGAAAGACGAGATTCTTTGTACGCGGTAATCTCGAAAACTACTGAACGGATTTTGAAGAGATTTTCTCTAATATACTCTGTATCGACAGGAGAGTGACCTTTTTACTTAGAATTTTAATACATTGCCACCTGTCTAAAAAACTATAAGATCCGCACCTTTCATTGTATTACAAAAGATGAGGCGTCAAATGAATGGGATTGGCCTCTAGAAAAGCACTGATGTTTTTTTTTTGTATAGGGTTGCCACCTCTTAATAAAATTACTATATTCAATCATAATAAGCGTAGGCATCGATTCTGCACCGTCACTGTCAAACGAAAAGACTTAGCCTCTACATGTGCAATAATGTTTTACTGTTTGAGTGGGGTTGCCACTTTTTAAAAATTGTAAGTTCTTCACCATTTGTTGGACTAAAAACTGAGGTAGCAACTGAAAAGATATGGTCTCTGCATGTGCAATAAGTTTTTATTTTTGTTTGAGTGGGGTTGCCACCTATTTAATAATTATGTAAGTATAATACGCGAGGGCATTTTTTGTTAATGACATTAAACTTGCATAGTTCATTCAATTTAAAAAAATAAGGTGTCAAAGGAAAAGGCTTGACCTGCGCAATAATATATTATTTTTTAGTAGGGTTGCAACCTGTTTAGTTGTCAATCGCATCTTATTTAATATCTACAATTTCAGCGCGTGGCGAAGCCTCGCGCATACAAGCAGTGTTGCCGCGAATTATTTTTAGTGGTAGCCAAATTAATCCTTTAAAAAAGGGGCTAAAAAAGTCGTTGTGGCCAAAAATGGTAGCTAAAATTGTTTACTTACAAATACATATATAAGTATACACGCAAACATTTTCAATAAGTAATGGTATAGAAAAACAATGAACTCTGGAAAAAAAGCTAATATTTTATCCAACCAAAACCCTTTTTGCATAAAAGGGGAAATATACGACACCAGCTTGCTGGCTCCATCAAGTGATTGTACCATCAGGCTCGAAGCATATAACTTACCAGCATGCTGGTACAATATTCATTTCTTTACAAATGAGGTCGAGGAAAGTTCGAAATGATTACACCCGAATTTTCATAATTTTTCTATTATTTTGTTAAACATTGTTTTTTTTTAAATTAACAACTGCAATATCGGGAACTTAATCTTCCAAAAACACGGGTTTGACTCATATAGTGCAAGAAATTTCCGCAAAAAAAAACTTTTTACTTAGAAAATTTAGCTAATTTCACCACTCACGACACCAGCATGCTAGTACAACCATACAATTTTCAAATAGTTTTTGAAGTCGCACCAGCAGCTGGCACAATCACACCACAAGAACATACACGGTCAATAGACTTGATGGGCCATTTAACAAATTAAGTATATTAAGTGCCGTAAACTTATCTATTTTAAACTATAGTTAAATCGTTAACCGTTACCGTATGTATCTATAAAACGTAAGGAACATACAATACATATTTGTATATATGTATATCAGTCTATCTTAGTTTAAAAATTCATCTCTTACATAAATGAAAAAAAATAGATCAAATTAAGTAAATGAGACATTCTTTTTCATATCGGACACCAAATTTGGTGTCACACTTTCGATTGGCTTCAAATTTTATTATGGGTTCTATACATGAAATAAGCTAACACGTGTTCGAGGAAATTCGTTGAGGAACAAATATTGTTAGCAAAGCGATATTCGCCGAAATCCGCAATAAAATCTGCGTTTTGCTAATTTTAGTTCTGCAATTGACACGCACATTTCTATGGGTTTGCCGCCTTAAAGAAAAGTCTTGCAATACAAATAATATATCGGAATCCGCAATACAATTTTACTTTTTGCAAAAACCCGACACTTACCAAATATATCTCAACATAAGTTAAGAAAAAAAATTACAAATAATTGTTGATACAAAATAAACCATCTCGTCATAAAGAAAAATATTTTACAAATAGTTCTTGAAAAACCCCCTTTTTTGAACCACGTTGTTTATAGAGAATTAAACAAGGATTACGATGGTATAATTTTAAATCCCTAATTTACTGGTCTTCACTATGCAAATCAACTTCAAAAAGTTCAGCTGTTAATAGCTAAGTTAGCTTTAGGACAATCTTGACCACCTTATATATAGAAATGGTAAGCCCGTTTCATAGCTTTAAAATGACGTTAAGATGAAGTCTCTATGATCAGCACAACCCGAGATATAACGATTTGAAGAAGTACATGATTCGTCAGAATCACGAAAAAATTCTAACTTTGACAGATCATATCTCCGAAGAAAAAAAAGAAAAAAATTTGAAGCGAATTGGTGACATGACATATTTTTTTTTTACGAAATCCGTCCGAGCTAAATAAAAAAGAATGTCTCATATATGTTTTCATGCCAACTATGAATAAATTCTCCAAAGGGTTAAAAAAAGGGCTAGGGGCAATTTTAAATTTATGTGGCAAAAAAAAAATATGTGGTAGCTAAATCTAGCCACCAAAGGGCTAAAACGGCAACACTGAAACAAGGCCGGCTAGTCACAAATAAAACTTAACTTTTATTTGGTCAACAAACCACATCAAAAATCAAATATATTTGTTAATTAAAAGCGGATTTGAAATCACGCAACCCTGACTGGTTGAAACCTTAATAAAATTAAACTACTATTGTTGGTACAAAATTGATAAGTTTTTATCATTTTTCATAATTAATTTTTTCTAATTTCTAAATTGTTTGGATACAAATGATGTTATTATTCTTTGCTGCTTTATTTCGTATTCGAAAAATTGTATATTTCAATAGACACATAGACTTGAATAAATCGTTTAGATTTAGATAGTGTTTTTGGCAATTTATTTGAGAAAAATAAAATTTCAAGTTTATTGAATCGATTTTCGTTGAATTTAATTTGGCTATCCCAAAATAACTGATATCAAATAAAACTCTATTTGAGGTAAAATTTTCGAGTGACGAAAGCTGGAATAGAAACATAAAATTTATGATATCAATTTCGTGACGAAAATTAAATATACTAATTTCTTTAACTGCCTTGGAAACTGACGGGAAATATTTTTATTTATTAGGAATGTTGCAGAGTTCCGTCTACTTTTGGAAACACAATAATGAACAGACAGAACTTTAGCAACGATTCGAATGAATAAAAATGTGTCCTGTCAGCTTCCAAGGCAGTTAAAAAAATGCGTATAGCTTTCGTCACGAAATTGATATCATAAATTTAGTGTTTCTAGTAGAGATGGACAAAACACGTGATCTTCCACTTGACACGTCGTGTCACGCTTTTTCACGGATAACTTCCGTGATCGTGCGTGACTGAAACTTTGGCTGGCGTGAGCGTGCGCGAGTTAGAGTTTCCGCCAATCACGTAATTTTAACGTAACCACCTAAAAGATTTAAGTGACATTTTTTTGCAGAAATATTCTTAGAGCATCACTGCCCTCCAAACACTTTCCTGGGAAACGAACTATATTCGGCTTTTCACGTGTACACAATCGGCTTCTTACACGTATTAAACCCGAAGAGTGCTGCCGCTGTCACTTCAATTGAAGTTTTTCACTTAACTTTGGAAGCCTTCACTTCGTCACTTCATTTTGTTTCACTTTCCACACATTAGATTTATCTTCAAAATAAATAAAACTTTATTTGAAATAAATGATTTAATTAACAAAAATCAACAAACTTTTGTTAAAATCCTTTGTAAGTGATAAGTATGGCAAAGTAACTTTTCGCTAAAAGATATTAAAAAGGTGCCTAATAAATCTCCAATCTGGCATCGGTTACTTGGAAGAAGTAACTTTGATTTTCATTTTCACATGTACAGATGTAAAGCGCACAGAAATGAATAGGTCGGTAAAGTTTCATGATTATTTAGTAAATATTTGACGAAAATAACAATTCTGTTTTAGTTTTCATACGTCTTCAATTTTACAGCAAAAAGGAAACATTTAAGTGAATCTGGTGATCTCGTTGTTGCTATGTATCTGGTTTTCAACATATGTATATCGTGAAGAACATACTAAAATAGTATGTACTGAAGTAGACAAAGCACAAAATAAATGTTCAGAGAAGTGGAAAATTTTTGAATTTTTACAAATATAATTTTTCAGAAAAATAACGAAATTGATCAATCATTGCGCAATGATGCGGACGCAGATACGGTCAATAATTGCGCAATTTTGTAAGTGCTCACGATGTTGCAGGAAAATCGTACTCACGTGTGTTCACAGGGCGGCTTAATTCTTTTTTTGCTACATAATGTATAATATTGTTTTAAAACTGGTACTCGTTCCAAAAGTGGTATTTTTACCTTAATGATAAACACATAATTTTTCAATTCTCTCGGGACCCGCACAACCCAGTTAATTGCACTGCTTTATTTTGAATATAGAGATCAGGGGCCAAGCAAAGATTACCAAAAACTCATGAAACAGAACGAAGCCAGAAAAGAAAAACGATCAGTATTTTCTTTAAGTTTTCTTAAAAATTACACTACAGCACTCGGTTGGGTATTGGACCAAAACAATTTTTTTAAGAGATTGAGTCATAATTAAAAAAGTAATTTCTAAGTTTTTCGAAGTTAGCCTCCGAAATCGAGCTATGGGCCTTCGAAGTTCGAAATTGGACCTTTGGCAAAAACGGAGAAATTACTTTTTTACTTATGACTAGGGTTGCCAGACGTACTACTTTTGGGAGTACACGTACTCCTTTTTATTGCAATGTACTCCCTTGTACTAAAAAAAATGTATGGAAATGTACTCCTTTATTAGTTTTGTACTTCTTTTGTTCTCCGTTTTCCAGCTATTAATATTTTATCATATACAGGGTGTAAAATAATAATTGTCCCACCTAAAATGGACCTTTATAGATATCATTTGGCTAGCGTCACGNGAAGTGGAAAATTTTTGAATTTTTACAAATATAATTTTTCAGAAAAATAACGAAATTGATCAATCATTGCGCAATGATGCGGACGCAGATACGGTCAATAATTGCGCAATTTTGTAAGTGCTCACGATGTTGCAGGAAAATCGTACTCACGTGTGTTCACAGGGCGGCTTAATTCTTTTTTTGCTACATAATGTATAATATTGTTTTAAAACTGGTACTCGTTCCAAAAGTGGTATTTTTACCTTAATGATAAACACATAATTTTTCAATTCTCTCGGGACCCGCACAACCCAGTTAATTGCACTGCTTTATTTTGAATATAGAGATCAGGGGCCAAGCAAAGATTACCAAAAACTCATGAAACAGAACGAAGCCAGAAAAGAAAAACGATCAGTATTTTCTTTAAGTTTTCTTAAAAATTACACTACAGCACTCGGTTGGGTATTGGACCAAAACAATTTTTTTAAGAGATTGAGTCATAATTAAAAAAGTAATTTCTAAGTTTTTCGAAGTTAGCCTCCGAAATCGAGCTATGGGCCTTCGAAGTTCGAAATTGGACCTTTGGCAAAAACGGAGAAATTACTTTTTTACTTATGACTAGGGTTGCCAGACGTACTACTTTTGGGAGTACACGTACTCCTTTTTATTGCAATGTACTCCCTTGTACTAAAAAAAATGTATGGAAATGTACTCCTTTATTAGTTTTGTACTTCTTTTGTTCTCCGTTTTCCAGCTATTAATATTTTATCATATACAGGGTGTAAAATAATAATTGTCCCACCTAAAATGGACCTTTATAGATATCATTTGGCTAGCGTCACGCAAGTCTTCGTCGGTTACCTTATTACATATCTTCTATAAATATAGGCTAATTTCCCCCATTTGGGTCCTTTGTACTCCTTCTTTTGTCCAACATAAGGCCTCATACTCAGCAATCGAAAAGACTCCGAACCGGTGACTAGGAGGGCATTCATACGACCAAACCTATACAGTTTTTTTTCTCTTTTTTTATACAAAGTCTAAGAAAAAGTACACCTATAAGAGACGTGAGTGCCGCATGAACTTATCTCCCAAAGCTGGCAAATGCAAATAAGGATTAAAGTTTTAAAACTAATTAATAAAACTAACGTACAGTATTTACANGCACGTTTGAAAACATCGATGTTCCCACAACAAACATCGATGTTAAAAAACATCGGTTATATAAAGGATACATCGATGTTTTCCCGATGTTTTAATTTCTCATCTACTACACGAAATTAAATGTAGCCTGAAATATTTTTTAAACTCGAAAGAACTAGAATCACATGTCCGCTACAAACCATAACTTTATACAAAACTTTGAAACATTCAACACATCTTTATTTTAATTTTGAATTTTTTTATTTAAATTTTTAGAAAAAGCTGCTAAAATTCGCCTTGATTTTTAACGAATTGGTTTTGCTGACGGGGTTTTGCACATTTTACCATATACAAGTAAATTTCTTGTAGAATTAAATGTGAAAGACCTTTTGCAAACAAAATTAAAAAAACAATGCCAGTTATTATAAATTGCACCTTTTATATATATAAAAAGACGCAAAAGCATTAAAAATCAAAGCGATTTTTAGCCGCTTAAAACTCTCCCCTGTTTTATTAGAATTAAATACCCAGATTTTTTTTTAAATATACAGAATAAAAAGTTCAAAATTTAGATGAAAATTTGTTAAATTTTTCTAAGTTCTGAATTCGCCGCCCTGTTTTCTACTGCTAATTAGAAGGTGAGAGTGACGTATTTTCTCTACCAGTAGAGAAATAATGGGTATAGAAAAGTTACAAAAACGGGCTACTGGTTACGGAATGAGCCATATTTTTATAAAAAAAAATAACAAAAAAATTTTACTTAAAAAACGACAAATATTGAACAAAACTCAGTATACACTCACGTTTGAACGCCAGCGTTGTATGTACATTAGGGATGTTAGTTTTTTCAATTTTTGCGATCCCGGGATTTTCGGGACATCGTTCATCCCGGGATTAGTTCCGGGATTTAGATATTCATTATTTTCCAACAACATAACATGAAAAAATCGCATCAATATAGTTTGAGAAACTGTCCTACCATATAATAAATAATAAAGAAATGGGCTTGAAACCTACTTTATTATTTAAGTTGAAAAATATTTCATTAGTAACAAAACAAAAGACAGTAATTAAATTTATACGCATTGAACAATACTTTAGCGTGTACATATCTGATAAAAGAACTTAAGGCATGCCGAAAAAAGCTCGATGCAAAAAAGACTTAAGTCAACATATGTATTGTGTGGCTGAAAGAAGTTCACAATAATAATAATAATAATAATAATAGATTGGCGCTTACACATATGTTAGTGTTGGGCCGAGCTTCTCCTTCGACTTGTGGCGTGCGCCTTGATGTTGTCACACAAAGCGGAGGGACCTACAGTTTTACGCCGACTCCGAACGGCGATTGTATTTTTATGAGAAGCTGCTTTTCATGGCAGAAATACACTCGGAGGTTTGCCATTGCCTGCCGAGGGACGATCGCTATTAAGAAAAAACATTTTTCTATATTTTTTGAGATGTTGATTTTTGGAATTTTTTAAACGATGCTGGGAATTTTCTTCCATATAAACAAATTGCCGAACATACTTTGCATGGAAAAAAATGCGTGACACCTCCAGCAAAAATATTATAAAAAATCAACGTTACTTTTAGTCACATGAAACTTGCAATTTATCCTCCTGTAATACTTATAAAATTGCGTACCTAAATTGTTTCTAAAAATTCTGAGTAAAAAGGTTGAACCAGTTTGAAACAAAGAAATTTCAAAACACACCAAGCAATCTGACACACTATGGGCCAAATACAGCAAAATTGCGTTTTTAGTTTTAGAATTTTTTTAACTAGAACTTAAAATTTCAAAAATATTATAGATTCTAAAAAATTATTTCAAAAATTCAGTGTAACGTAGAATAAAAACGGAAACCAAATGAAAAAGAAAATTCTGTTGGATTTAAAAAATTAAAATTTTTCGGGTTCGGGTATTGAAATGCCCTTTTAATCAATTTAGTTTTTTTAAGCTAATAAAGTTAGAAGGACTATATTCGACGATGTTGTCGAGTTTATATCAGTCCGTAACATATAATTTTTTCAAAATAAATATTGCAAAATTTCAAGGATATTCAAAGATACAATTTTTGAGGACATTTGCAACACCTTATGCACCGAAAAATTTAATCTGTTTTTTTCTCTATAGAATTTTCTTTTTAAATTGATACCCATACTGTTTTCCTAAGTACACTTCAATAAATTTTTTAAACCATTTTCTAGATTACTCATATTATTCAATTTTCGAAGTCCTTTTATAAAATCTTGGCTTCAGAGAGAAAAGCTAAAAACACAATTTTTAGACATATATAAAAAAAAAATTAAATATTAAACAAAAGAAATATAGCGAAAACTGGTCAACATAAGGCATTCTATTGTTGCCACCATTGCAAATTACAAATCCCGAAAATCCCGGGATTCGGGACTTAAAAAAGTGTGGGATTCCGGGATTAACATCCCTTATGTACATACAGAAACTTCCTTCTAGCAGCATATTTCAATACAAGTATAAGTATGTTGCTATAATTATGATGTATCTTAAATATGTAAATCTTATTTATTTAAACATGAATAAATATTTTGAAATGAGTTCAGAAAAG